CTCCACTGCCTCCTGGGCGGCGGCCTCCGATGCTAGGAAGAAGACGACCTTTCCGTACATCTTGGAGGCCGCCACAATGGCCGTGGGCCCCACCACCCTCGCCAACGCCCGCACGTAGGTCTCCACGGGGGGCGAAGCGGGTACCAGGAGGCAACGGACACCGTGCTTCCTGGTCAAGGTGGGGAAGGGGCCCCGGCCGCTATAGATGGTAGCGGAGGTGGTGGATGGGGGAGATGACGTAGCGGCAGGCAGGGGGGCCGCCGCCACCTGGGCGTATGCCCTGGGGGCTGGGGGAGGGAACAGCAGGGAGGGACGCCGCGGCCAGTTGCGGGGCCGCAGCAGTGCGGGCACCCCCTGCCATGGAGGGTCTGGCTTTTTTAGCGGGGCCTTTACCCTTCTTTGTGCCCTGGCCCTTCCTGCCAGCTGGGGGGACTCCCCCAGGGTCAGAGGGGGCGAGGGACGTGGCAGCAGCGGAGGTCACTTCGTTACCCGCCGCTGCCGGCGCTCCAGCAGGGGTGGTAGCAGGCGGCTCGGCAGCAGCGGTCGAGGTAGAGGCTAGGGGGGACGATGGTGGGGCGGGTGGAGGAGGGGCAGCAGGGTCTGCCCGAGGGGTCCCACTCGCCTTGTCCCCTGCCATAATGAGGACGGGGGAGAACAAACACCAGAGGGGGTTAGGGAAGGGGGAAGCAGGTCGACCACTCCTCCCCGCTAGGCTGTAGGCAGGGGAGGAGGGCGCCAAAAAAAAAGGAGGGGGGGGAGGGGGGGGGCTATCAAGGGCTAGGGGTCAGTCACCGACTCAGGGAAGGTTTCCGGCTCCTCTTGTTGCACCAAGGAAGGGAGGATAGAACAGCATTGGGGGGTGCAGTGAGACAGAATCAAACTAAAACGGGGAGGGGTACAAGCGCATAGGAGGGGACATGGGCGCACGAAGGGAGGGGCTAATCAGGGCAAGGGGACCGCAGGGGGAAGGGAGCAACCAGGCGGGAAATGGGGCAGAGGAACCACGGGGCTAGCTTCAGAGGCTGGGGCGGGTCAAACAAAGGCTGCAGAGGGAAAGGGCGGGGCAGGCAAACAAACTGGAGCTAGCGAGGGGCTGGGGCAAGGGGGAGGGGCAAAAGGCAGCAAGGAGCAAATGGGTAGGCAGCAGGGGCAAAGCTGGGGGCTTGCTGCAGGGGGGAGGGGGTCAGTCCAAAAGGGGGGGTACGTGCACCCATGTGCGCTTGTAACAAAAAGGAAGTCTTTGGAAGCTGGCTGCTGTATCAGGCCCAATGGTGGCAACAGGGCGTAGCAAGCCTAGGTGAGCAGCTGAAATCCCAGAGGCAGGAGCTCAAGGTAGATGGTAAGTAGCCAGTGGGGGTGGTGGAGGGGGCAATGATGATGGTGGTGGTGGGGATCGGGGGGGGGGACGGGACACAGATGGACCAGGGGGCAGGCTCCACGCCACACTCCCTGTGTCCCCACAAACACAGTCTAGATCCCCACCACAAGAGCACAGTTCAAAAGTTACTCAGTCCGGGAGGGCCCCCTCCACGGTGGTCTGTAGAATTCCTACGTGCCTCCCCACTGGCAGATGGTCCTCTTCTCCTCCTCAGGGCTCCAGCAGCTCCCCAGCAGCAAATGGAGCAGCTCCAGGCGGCAGTCTGGTGGCCAGCAGGAAAGACCCTTCTCAGGTGGTGGTCAATGGTGGTGGCATCCCCAGCAGCAGGAGCAATGGCTGGGGTCTCTCCCTCCCCTCCTCTGGGGAGTGGGCCAGCAGGCCCCCCCAAGGGGCTGTAGCTGGAGCAGCAGCAACCAAGGGTGTGTGTGGGTCTAGCAGCCAGCCAGCAAGCAGGTAGTAGAGAAAGAGGAGGAGCAGCCCCCTACCTCCCTCCCTCCAGGCCAGAGGGCTACAGGAGAGTGATCTATTAGTCCCAGGTCAGACAGGGTTTCTGTTCCCTGAGTGACCAGAGCAGGGGCTGCACTCGAGTAATCAGGAAGCTGCTAGAACCAGTTAAGGCAGGCAGGCTAATTAGGACACCTGGAGCCAATTAAGAAGAAGCTGCTAGAATCAATTAAGGCAGGCTAACCAGGGCACCTGGGTTTTAAAAAGGAGCTCACTTCAGTTTGTGGTGGGAGTGTGAGGAGCTGGGAGCAAGAGGTGCAAGGAGCTGAGAGGGTGTGCTGCTGGAGGACTGAGGAGCACAAGCGTTATCAGACACCAGGAGGAAGGTCCTGTGGTGAGAATAAGGAAGGTGTTTGGAGGAGGCCATGGGGAAGTAGCCCAGGGAGTTGTAGCTGTCATGCAGCTGTTACAGGAGGCACTACAGACAGCTGCAGTCCACAGGGCTCTGGGCTGGAGTAGAGGGCGGGCCCGGGTTCCCCCCAAACCTCCCAATTGACCTGGACTGTGGGTTCTTCCAGAGGGGAAGGTCTCTGGGCTGTTCCCCAACCCACATGGTGAATCTCTGAGGCAAGAAAATCCGCCAATAAGCGCAGGACCCACCAAGATAGAGGAGGAACTATGTCACAATAGCTGTATTACTTTGAGGTTTTACTGCCTTCAAAACATTTTCAAAGCAATCTTAGGTAATATTTAGGGTTACCATATCTCATAAATAAAAAAAGAGGACCCTTCACGGGCCCTGGCCCCGCCCATTTCCCCACCCCCAGCCCCGCCCCAACTCCGCCCCCTCCTCCCTTCCACTCCCAGCCAGGGGGAAAGGGCTGCCCCAGTGCTACCGGCTTCAGGGTTTGCCGGGCAGCCCTCAGACCCTGCGACCCCAGCCGGCGCTTCCCCAGCGCAGCTGGAGCCCGAGAGGGGAAGCGCCCGGGAGGGGAAGCGCCCAGCCGGGGGCGCAGGGTCTGGAGGCTGCCCGGCAAACCCTGAAGCCGGTAGCGCTCGGGCTTTGGGCAGCCCCTATGCCTCCGGACCCTGCGCCCCTAGCCGGGCACTTCCCCTCCCGGGCTCCGGAGGCGCAGGGTCCCGAGGCACGGGGGCTGCCCGAAGCCGGTAGCTCTCGGGCAGCCCGGCTCTTAAACAGAGCCGAAGAGTCGGGGAGGAGCAGAGCCGCCATTTTCCCGGACATGTTCGGCTTTTTGGCAATTCCCCCCGGACGGGGGTTTGACTGCCGAAAAGCCAGACATGTCCGGGAAAAAGAGGACATATGGTAACCCTATTTGAAATTAGAACAATGTTGGGCACAATACAGGTCACTTTAAAACATATGATACTGAAAAGCAATTTAAACAACACTTTCACTACAACAAGCAATCAAATCTCTTTCTATGAATATACATCAATCAACTACCAGAAACCACTTGTTTCCTCAACCATTAACAAATTAAACTAAGAAAGAGATAGTTTCTCATTATTAAAATGTTACTGTATATGCTGCATTCTGCCTTGTAAAGCAGGGTTTTATTCCACACTGCAATAAATGCCATCTAGTGTTTTTTCAAGAAAAATCACAATCTTTCATTCAGAATGTCTCTCTCTCTCTCTGGTTAAGATAAGGGGACCCAAGAATTCAAGCTGTGTAAGAAATCCAAATAGATAAATGATTTCTCAATATACTTAGGCAGGCAAAAATACAGCTTGCAGGATTGCACCGATTCATGTCAATTAGTGCAAATGGATTGTGTGAGAGTATGTTATGCGTGTACTTGGCATCAGACTAGGCGTAGCCTTATGCTTGCTTGATTCCTCTAAACTTCAGCATCTTTCCTTCCATGTTAGTATTCGTTTGACTTTTAATTCAAACTATTTTTAAATTTTAAGTTTACAGAAAGCCGGGGGGGGGGAGAACAGGTACCAAGCTTTATAAATATATAGACCACACACATATAAAACACATCAAGCAAATTTTCACTATTGACTTCAAAGGGAGGAGAATTAGGTCAGCATTGAGCACATCTGAGAATCCACATATTCTCCTACACTTCAACAAACATGGTCAAATTATACACTGATAAAACTCTAAAATAAAGTCACGCTCCATAGATTTTTCTACAAGAGTTAAATACACCATTTTGGGATTTTTTTCTGGAGATCTTCCTTAAATTGACAAACCATTAATGATTTAGAAGGAATGTGGTTCAACTGCAATTTTTTTTGGACCACCATCAAATTAAATAATTATGTTTCCCAGCACAGCTATTTTAAAAGATTTAAATGGGAATTATGAAGGCCTTTTTAAATCATCCATTTTTTCCTGGACAAAGTATTGCCAAAGATCCTGTGAAATGTATGACAAACAGACACTGTAACAAATCTAGCATCCTCAATTTACTGGGTCATCCAACTCACAAGCTGCAGTATTTAAATAGGCTGAAATTACTGCTGAAACGAAGACATAGGAAACTGGGGACAGGGATAAATGTTGCACATCATTCTAGACAGCGTCCTTTTACCATATCCCCTCAATATTGTGTGTAGATGTGTTGGCTGGGTTACCAAATACTTGCTCAAAGCCACTCACTTGTTTTATGAACCAAAACACATTTAAATAAAATAGCACTAGAAAGGGGATCTCAGGCTTCGGAATACTCTTCATAGACAGTAGTGGTATGAAATTCCAATCCACTTGTATAATTCACTGATAACAGCTAACACATTGCAAAATCTTTTGAAACAAGGAACTGGTTTTATGGACAGTAATGGAAATTCAATAAATTAGTACAGTTTCCAAGTATGCATCACTCTCAATTTTAGCTCTTAGTGAACACTGGACAAATCTGATTCTGAACAACAAATACTCTTTGAAAGGAATTATTTAAAATAAAATACTTTTGACCTACCCAATGAGCAGACGAATCCTAATTACAGAATTACAATCTAACAAACAGATAAATATGAAAGAATGAATTTAAATAACCACTACTTTTAACCTGTATGTAAATTTATTGCACTTTTCCTTGATGATTATTCTTGATGTAGTCTAAATGATTTTGTCCAACTGCTTTTTTTTTAAATGAGGTATGACATATCCAAGCTCAGTTATATCACCTACAGAAAGATAACACTGCTTATCTGTAATTTTCTTTGTTGTTCACATCACATCTTCCCTCCATCCTCTCAATTTGTTAGTATTCTGCTATTGTATTTCCACCTGCCAGAAATCAAAGAGACAGTTCAGTTCTCACAACCATTTTTGTCATGGATGTAATATCTAACACTTCCTTATTTATATTCAACAAAAACATGTCTGAATGTGCCACAAACCTGTGTAGCTTATGTAAGAGCTTTCCTTGATTTTACTCATTTATTGCACCAGCATAATTATCCAGCATATATTTATTAAGTTCGTTTTGCTTTAATTACTCCCTATCATAACCGAAAACATGGAGTTATAAAAGTCACAGGAAGGAAGGAAAACAGAAAATTCTCTCTTTAAAATATTCTGGTGGTTTTGCGCAAGTTCCTTGATTGTTTCTATTGCCGCTGTTTACAAGTCAAACAAATACATTCTCTGATCCACCAAGAGATGGGGGCTGCAAAGAACACAACAAGACCTTAAAGCTTTGATCAGAAGTTCTTGTATAGGAGGAATATGACTAGCATCCAAAGAATGAAACAAATACTGTTTTGAGGGAAAATGGTAGAAACACAAAATCCCACACAGATTTTTCTGTAATTCTATAAACCTTCAAGTACCAGGTAAAAATAAATTGGGGACTAACTACTAATGACCAGCTTTGCAGAGGTGCTGAGCCCTTGCAGCTTCCTTTGGCTTAAAGGGAGCTACAGGAGCTGAGAACCTCTGAAGAGCAGGTCACTAACTACTGTAATTCTACCCAAAGGTACACAAAAATCAGTGGAAAAAGCCATTCAAACTCCCCTATCCCACTAGATGACATGAAAAAACTTGTCTAGACACTTGTCTTTAGTGTCAATAACATTCAGAGACTTAGGAAACACATGAAAGTCCCAAAATAGTCAGCACTCTTGCACCAAAGCACAGACTTGACTCCAATGTTTTAAGTCTGAGGTCTCCAGCTCCCATAGTGGATTCAGGTTATTGGGGCGGGGGTGGGACAAAATTCAATGGCTTCACCAAAGGATCATCTACAGTGTGTCATTTGATAACAAGAATTGCTTCTGGAAGTGATAGGCACCATTCCTGCATCTTTATTAACAATAACATGGTATTGGAAGGAGGAGCAGACAATCCAACAGGAACAACAGGGAGAAAACAGCATGGAAAGAAAGGGGAAAGCAGTGCATAAGCAGAGCACTGTTTATGCGATGAGCAGTGTGGAAGGAGTATTTGAAGCACTGGGGCTTGTCACAGAATGGTCTCTCACTGAGAGGGTTAATTGATTCTGGCTGGGAGCTTGGTTAAATGCTTGCGCAGAGACTCCAGCTCTGAAAGACTTTGTGACGCTTGGGAGTTGAACTTTGGCAAAGGCCTGCTCCAAATTTAGAAGACTTAGCCTGGAATTTAAGTTAGCTTTTAGGAACCTGGCATAGGCAGAGCCTTCTTCCAACCTTGAAAGGCTCAGTTTAGTCTGGAGACATGACAGAGAGCTAAGGAGGAGATGAGAAATCCACATCGCATAGTAGGTCCAAAACTTTGGATATCAAAATTAGAGATGGAATCATGTCACGAAGTTCACATCCGGATTCCAGCTTTCCCAGAGCTCAGAAGCATTCAGATTCCTGTATTCTGATGTAAGCCTATCTCCAGTCACAATGTTAGGTGTGGTAAATGTTGCTGTATCCAGATGAATCTTTGAAGGGAGGTGCGGAAGAAATATGGGCAGAGATCCAGCTTCGGATAGTAACCAATTCTGAGCCAAACACATGTCTCCCTTCCTGCAACATCAGTTCGCCTAATGGGAAAGAGAAACTGAGGGAAGTAGGGAGGAAGCTAGATTTAAAAAAAATACAACATAAAAAAGGATTTAATTTCTTTAATACTTCAGCTGATTTAAAATTCCAATAGAATATAGCCTTTATTAGAAATTGCCACCAAAAATTTGATTTAATTTTCAGACCATTTACACAAGAAAGGTGTCCCCAGCATACTATAGAACATATCTAATGCTTTGGCAACTAAAGTTCCAAAAAGGAATGCTGTGTCATACTCCACATGAGTCACTATCTCACTATCTTAAAGTGCAAAGGAAAAAGAGTTTCTGTTCCCTTTCCTAGACTCTGATTAACTTTTTCCCCAAAACAAACGTGGACTTAAAAGTGCCCTTTATATATATAAATATGCATTTGTTTTGTTAGTGTGTGTGTGTATATATGTGTGTGTGTGTGTGTGTGTGTGTGTGTGTGTGTGTGTGTGTGTATGTACAAGTCTCAAAACAAGATTTTGATAATTCTGCCTACCAACCATCCAAACCCTTCTGGAAACTCAGATGAATCACACTACCAATTTTTTTCTTTCTTCAAATGGATCAAAAAATATTTGACAGTATGAGTGTTCAGATACTACACAACCTTTGACTTCCGTTTGCATTTGGGTTTCCTCTTCATAAACATCTAAAATCATGTCTCAAGTAAGGACTGAACAAGAAGCAAATCTTATGTATTTCAGTTTTCAAACAGCGTCAGTCTTTTCCCATCCTTACTTTACACCACTACGTAAGAAGGCTGTCTTTGCTATTTGTATTATTCCTCTCTGAGATGTTCCAAACAATCCTAGTAATCACTTTTACTCTTAGATTAATAAACTGGACTTCCTCTGAAGTTCAGTTGCCTTCTTAAAGAAAGATATTTAACTTAATCTAAGCTTTTTGAAAGTGCTTATTACATTCAGTCTCTCCACTAGCAGGGGCGGCTCCAGGCACCAGCGCACCAAGCGCATGCCTGGGGCAGCAAGCCATAGGGGGCAGCCTGCCGGTCGCTGTGGGGGCGGCAGTCAGGGAGCCTTCGGCGACATGCCTGCGGGAGGTCCGCCGGTCCCGCGGTTTTGGCAGTAATTCGGCGGCGGGTACGCCAAAGCCGCGGGACCGGCGGACCTCCCGCAGGCGCGCTGCCGAAAGCTGCCTGACTGCCGTGCTTGGGGCAGCAAAATACATAGAGCCGCCCCTGTCCACTAGAGTACCCAGAAAGCTGAGAGCAGAGATTTCAATGGGCTGCTTTTCTGGAATGATATTGCATCTTCAGGAAAACAGTGCAGTTCTTCAATGGTTCCTTAAGAAATAAGTCCTCTTCCTTCTTAGGAAAAGGTTTAAAGTCAAAAGGTTTAAAGGTGGTGGCCTGTTAGCTACGCATCTGTACACTAACTTTATGCCTTTTGTACTACCTTTTTTATACATTCCTTTTAGGGCATGTCTACACTGGCAATTAATAGCGCTGCAACTTTCTTGCTCAGGGGTGTGAAAAAACACCCTCCCTGAGCGCAGTAGGTTGCAGCGCTGTAAAGTGCCAGTGTAAACAGTGCCCCAGCGCTGGGAGCTACGCCCCTCGTGAGCCGCAACCACACAAGGCACGTTAAAGCGCTGCCGCGGCAGTGCTTTAGCGTTGCCAGTGTAGAGTAGCCCTTACACTCAATGGTGCAGTCTTGCTTAGTGATGGGTAGATTTGGAGACTGTAATTTCTCATTACTTTGGTTGGAGAAATCTCTTCAGGGCTGTTTCATGCAGAGAGAGTCTGATCAAATGTGTTAACAACCCTCTATTTTATCTCTGGGTGACAGAATTCGTTTGCATCGCAGACACCTAGTTCGCAGCTCACTCCAGTTAAAATTGGAAGGCCAGATGCACAGAGCCAGTTTCCGCTCCCTGATTCTGTGTGGCCCTGCATCCAAGTTAGAGCAGTCTGGGGGTTAACTCTAAAGTGCACCAGCTGTCAATGGTCCCCAAGGAACCATGCACTCTTTTATCCTCATCTGGTGCTGTGTGCGCCACTCACTTCTCTCTAGAGCTGCAGAGTGGATGGCATAAGAGCTGTCTACATGGTCTCTACATGCACTGGGGTGCCCTCTCATAAATACTCATCTAGGGGGATAAGGTTAATTTCCATTCTCTTTGTGACACGTGAGTGAAGAAAATAATTTGCCCCCAAATCTCTAATTTAATTTAATAGTCAGGAATTTTTTTGGATAATACTGATCTAAGATTGTCCTTCTGCTGAATACATATATACATACATACACACACCAGCAGCCTTTTGCTATTTATGTTCTTCTGCTGTTGCTAGTTAGGCATGGCTTTTTCTCTTTGGAATATCCTTCATAACTTCAAGATTTTCCCCTGTGGTGGCTGAACTGTGACAAGCCTGATTACGAACGCCACAATTTACATTATGGAACTTTAAGAATAACATCCATAGATTCTTTACCAGAGATAATTAATAATGTCGTACTGGATAATATACTATACAGTTATAGTTTCACTTTCATTCAGTTTGAAAAATTTTCAGAACAGACAAGGTATATTATGCAGTTCAAATAAAACAGGTATTCAACACTACTATGGTACGTTTCAGATGTGTTTTAATCAAGAATAATGAAGGTTACAATAAGTTTACTATATGAAAAATCTCCATTTCGGTTCCACATAATAGGAACTTTGTATGGTGACCTGTGGCACACAAACCTTCATTCAAGCCTGGAAGATGGTATTCCTAGCATGGGAAAGAAAGGAGTGGTTGCACTTAGTACATTTACTTCCCCTTGAAAGCAAAGGCAGAGGAATCATAGTCCACAAGATACAGAAGTTACAATGTACAAGGCCTATTCTGTTACAATTCTTCCTCACAAGGAATAAATCCCAGAACAAAGAGGATCCTGAAACTTCCTTACTAAGTGCCACAAAAGGCATACAGTGCAGTAACATCTCTATTTGATGTTCTCTTAATACGTTTGTTTTTTCTACAAAATTATGGTTTTTATTGTTTCCTTTAGAATCACTATCTCGTAGTTTGCTTTTATATATTGATGACTCATCATAAATCTGGTGAATAAAGTTGTCTTAAAGTTTTTCCTTCTTTCAAATTTTTGGTGAAGTGAGCATTTTAATGTATATTAAAAAATTTAAATATTAAAAATGTAATGCTTTAGGCCAGATTCTGCAACTATTACTCAGACTGCACAAGAAGCACCTTACTAGGCGAGTAATTCCTCTGATTTAAAATTGGACTGTGTCTATAGTAAGATACTAGTCAATATGCATAAATTTAAGCATGTTTATGTAGTGCCATTGAAGTTAAATGTTTGCAAGATTGGGACCTTGATCTTTTGCTCCTGTGATGACTTTTTATTTATTTATTTATCTTTAGAGGGGATTTTATAATTTACTTTTAGAGGGAAATTATCTGACACGCTATCTGCTATATACACAAGCATATTTTTCGTTTCCATTATACATCAAGAACATATGCACTTTTTCCTCAGGTTCAGAAGAAAGTGGGAGGCAGACCAATTGAGAGTCTATGAACAAAGATAAAAGGGGTAAAAAATAGGGGCAACATCATGGCAGAGGTCTACCATAGATCAACAAACCACAATAGGGGACGTAGATGATGCATTTCTAGAACAAACAACAGAAATACCCAAAAGACAAGAGCTGTTAGTTATTGGGGACTTTAACTACCCAGACATCTGTTGGAAAAGTAATATGACAAAACAGAAAATTTCCAATAAGTTCTTGGAATGTGTTGGGGACAACTCTTTGCTCCAGAAAGTGGAGGAAGGAACCAGGGGACAGCCACTGTAGACTTGACTCTGACCAACAGAGAGGAACTGGTAGGAAATCTGATGGTGGAAGGCAATTTGGGTGAAAGTGATGATGAAAAGATAGATTTCACAATTCTAAAGAAAGGAAGGAATGAGAGCAGCAGAATCAGGACAGTGAACTTCAAAAAAGTAGATTTTAACAAACTCCCAGAACTGGTAGGTAAAGTGCTATGGGAAAAAAATCTAAGGGAAAAAGAGTTCAGGAGAGCTGGCAGTTTCTCAAGGAGGCAATATTAAAGTAGGATGACCACATGTCCCATTTTGGCCAGCACAGTCTCTTTTTTAAGCCCTGTCCCGGTCGTTCCGACTTTTTTGGCAAAACTGTGCATTTGTCCTGTTTGCTCTTGCCAGCTGATCATCAGTTGGCAACAGCAAACTGGACAAAAGCACAGTTTTGCCAAAAAAGTGGGGTGTGACTGGGGGGAGGGCTCAGTTGGCCTCGGGCTGACCCTGCGCAGGGTGGGGAGAGGAGGGCTTTAGGCCAGCCCTGGCACAAGGGCTCAGGCTCATCCTGTGTGCAGGGGGCAGAGGGGAACCGTGGACTGGCCCCGGGCGAGTGTGTGTGGGGGGGGGTGGGGGTGGCGAGGGGGTTCAGGATGGCCCCGTGTGGTGTCACTTTTTCCCTTTTGGAAAATATGGTTAGCCTATATTAAAGGTACAACAGCTAACTATCCCGATGCAAAGGAATGAAAGGAGAATAATAAGATGCTAATATATGGCTCTATGAGGAGCTCTTTAATGACATGAAAATCAAAAAAAGAATCCTACAAAAAGTGGAAACATGGACAAATTGCTAAGGAAGAGTACAAAAGAACCACAGAAGTATAGGAACAAAATCAGAAAGGCTACGGCACAAAATTAGTTACACTAGCAAGGGACATAAAAGGCAGTAAGAAAAGTTTCTTTAAATATATTAGGAACAAGAGAAAGATGAAGGAAAGGGTAGGTCCTCTTAGCAGGGAAGGAGAGTTAATAACTAATGACATCAAGAAAGCTGAGATGTTTAATACCTATTTTGCTTCACTCTTCACTAATATGGTTAATGGTGACCAGATATTCAACACTAGTAATATTACCAAGGGGGAAGCAATGCAAGCCAAAATAGGGAAAGATCCAGGTATTATAGAATATTAAAGAATATTTGCATAAGTTAGATGTACTTAAGTCAGCAGGGCCTGATGAAATTCATCCTACAGTACTTAAGGAACTAGATAAAGCAATCTCTGACCCATTAACAATTATCTTTCAGAACTCATGGAGGATGGATGAGGTCCCAGAAAGGTAAAAAGGGGAACAAAGAGGACATGGCGAATTATAAACCAGTCAGCCTAATTTGGATACCTAAAAATGATTAAGCAACCAGTTTGCATGCACCTGGAGGATAAAAGATTATAAGTAATAGCCAGCATGGATTTGTCAAGAACAAATCAACCCAATTTCCTTCTTTGATAGGGTTACCTGCCTAGTTGATAAGGGGCAAGTGGTAAACGTTTAGTCTTGAATTTTTCACATCCCTGAATGACAGAGCTGGGCCAATCCTTTGTGTCTAGTGTAGACAAGCCCCTAGTGTCTAGCTAACCATTGATCTTTCAAGTTGCTGAACACCTTATAATTCCATTCAACAGAATATCAGGGCGAGCAGAGTGTGAACGTGTTTCAAAAAGTCACTACAGATGTTCTATACTAGGTTAATGGAGCCAAGATGTACTGTATTTGTGCTTATGTGAGCCACTGCAAACCAAAAATTGAAAAACCACTGCACAGACATCTGCATTTCACAAGCTACAAACCGCCCCCCACACCAAACCCAACAAGAAATAGACCAAATTATTACAGATTTCAAGAGACCAAACTATTGTGTGCCACAGGCAGAGAACAGGAAGGATTGATGCCCTAGACCCCTGCAATGACTGGGAATTGATTTAAGTAAAATATACCCAGATGAACCTACCAAATGATCCATCTCCCCCATGCTGCAGAGGAAAATACTCACTAGAATTTCCCCAAGTCATTATTTAAAAAGGTCGTATTCTACTACTTTGATTACAGAAACCATGCAATGAGAGTCCACAAGAAAATGCAGTGTCAAAATTCTTCAACACCTGAAAAGATTAAAGACAAACAAGTATGGAGCACAATTTTAGATTTCCCACAGACAAATACTTGCTTTTGTTCCCTCGTTCACTTATTTTCTGTTAGAAACCTCAGGCAAGTTTGGGAGGCAAATGAGAGATGCTAGTTGATAACTTTTGAAAACAAGGCCAATCATTTTAGTGCCTAAATATGGACTTAGAATTTTAAATTTAAACACTGTGTTTGGCAAATCTTGGCCTTAGAAAGTATTTAATATTACTATCTCTTATACAGATCACCTTTTACAAGCTTTCAAGCAGTGAAATGAACTTCCCTACTACTGTATTCTTTGTTTAGAGCCATCCAAAAAAACAAACCTAATTTCGACTAAAAATCCATCATCCCCTTTTCAGCACAATCATAATTATACATTGAAGTGCATAAAATGGTGAGAAGCAAGCTCTCTACTTTTGCAGTCAGAGAAAAGACTAACCAGTTAGGAAAAACAAATTTCCGGTTCACATTTTAGATGCAAATGTGAGATAGTATCTTCTGACAGACTAGAAGTGTATCGTTTGACTACTTATTACCTAGCACAATGGGATCCTGGTCTGAATAGGGACTGCAAGTCTGCCTCTATGCACCTGAACCTATGAGGAAGGCTGTGTGTCTGTCATGTAGGTCTCCAGCAGCAGCAGCAGTTTGGGCATGGGAGGGGGCTCAGGACTGGGGCAGGATGTTGGGGTGTGGGGTAGCATTTACCTTGGGTGGGGGGAGCTCTCCGGCTGCCACCAGCATATCCCTGCAGCTCCTAGGCGGAGGAGCCAGGGGGCTCTGCATGCTGCCCGCGCCCGCAAGCACCGCCCCCAGAGCTCCCATTGGCTGCAGTTCCTGGCCAATGAGAGCTGCGGAATCTGCGCTTGTGGCGGGAGCAGCACACAGAGCTCCTCCCCCTAGGAGCTTCAGGGACGTGCTACTATATAATTGTATTACCTTCACACACAAGTGTGTATTAAACCCAAATTGCCAAATTAAATTTACTTCATCTCAAATAAGTCAAGACAAAAAACAAGTGTTCACTAAAGGCAAGCTCTCTAGACTTTAAATCAAAAGCACTTCCCATAATGGATTCAACACTGTATAGCATTGTGTCGAAGGTCTCAGGTCCCAAGTCTTTGGCGTAACTAGTTTCTCACCTCTAAAAACTCAATGTTAATTGAGCTACCCCATAATAATATGTTTTTTAATACACTTGATTAAAAGTATTTTGTCAACATTTGTTAAATGCTCCAATGACAATTTTCATATAAGTATATTCTTTGTTGAGCAGCACACTTGAAGCAAAAAATGGAAGAGAAAGGTTATTTACCTTTAGCGTCATTCACCTTCCCAGATTAATCTATCATTCTTCAGACCTCTCTCTCTCACTCTCTAAGAGAAAACATAAAACAAAGATAATTTTATCTTTCATGTTCTCCTTTAAACAATTTGGCTGATTAAGACAGATTTCTTCCAGAGCAAGTACCTTTTAAAAAGGTCACTTTATATATATGAAGAAATATAATGAAGAAATAAAGCACTTCTGTAGATATATCTGAAAGTATCTGAAAAGAGAGAGAAAGAACAGGAGATGGGAATAAGAACTTTCATTTTATATTCCTGCATTTACCACAGGCTGTAAGCAGTACTGGTTCAAGCAGTTAAATTCAGGTACACACTAGCTTCAGCCCTCCAAGATACACAAGCATTCTGAAAACATTCCTATGTACACCTATGGCTTTTTGCACAGCAGTCAAACTAATTACTTCTACTTGTAATTGACTGAAAAGCTCTTGTGATTTATGACTAACAATGTTTTGCATTTCCAATTTACTGAGAAGTTGTATAAATAACCAGTGTTAGCTGATCTTTAACTAGGCCAACAACTTACAACACTTTAATGCAAGTGTCAACATACAGGTAGTTTTCCCATTCAACGTAATGTTTAAGAAGTATCCAAGAAAGGTTTTCATAATACAAAAATAAAACTGCATCGGGGAAATGTGTTAGTTCTCATTGCACAAATTACCATAGTTCATAGATATTCACTGATATTTATTGCATGACATCACTGTAGAGGTAGGTCAAACTCAGACTTGGCAAGATAGAATGAGATAAGCTGCACTTGTTTTATGAACTGTCATTCAATTTTATTAGTACTTGCTGCCTCTGCTTGGCCATAGATTGGAGAAAAATGCCACACAGTGCAAGTGCCACTTCGTTGGTATGCCCTTTCCCCTTGTACTCGCCAACTACATCTAAATCCTGCTGTTACCGAGGCCAGAAGCAGTGAATATTATTATTAATGGGCTGCTGAGAAGAGATTTGCAGAGGCTATATGGGTCTTATTTCCTAAATCTGCTTATATGGCCTCAATCCTGCCCCCAATTGGATACCCATTACATTTCTACTCCAAATATTTACATTTACAAGTTATATCTTAATATTCTCCCCAAAATCAAGATATAGCTATTTAATTTTAGAAATCTTCTCAACTTATAAAAAGGAGAGAAAAAAATCACTTATGGCTCCTACAACCAACGCATATTATAGCCACCCTTAACCTCATTTTGTTAATCTCATTTCTTTGAGAAATATTTTCCAAATAAAAACCTTTAATTTTCAATGTAGAAATGTCTTAACTCAGCTCTTCTCCTCCTACTCTGACAGTCCAAATTAATTTTGGCTTTTTTAGTCATTTCTCTTTGACCTATCCTTCAGAACGTACTGGGACTGTATTTCCTTAATCACGTTTGCTTCTCTTTTTGTACAATAGTAGGCATTACTATTCGCCAGAAATTCAGCTCCATCTCATCTTCAGATTGTTTTCCCTGAGTTTCTTTTCTCGGCGCAAGAGTGGAGGATCTTTTTACTTTCTTCACTGAGAATAAAACTTT